GGTCATCTCGATCTTTAATATCTAACCACCGGTCTGATATTTTTTTTGGCGTGGGCCACCCTAACCGCACAGGTTGCCACGTCGTGACAACCTGCCGGTGAGTCGCGCCGGCGCCGCCATGCCATGCCAGGCCCGGGGGAGAGAAGCAAATGACGGATTGTTCCCCTTCCGGTCGGAGTTACCATAAGTCACAGCGGCTTCCAGCAGCGCCACGCCTCCTCTGTCGTCCGACGGCCCCGCGCGAGCCGCAGTGCAAGCCCGCAGGGCTGGCTGGGGGGCAGGGTTGGGAGGCGAGGTTCCTTTGCGGTTCTTCGCGAAGTGCTTACTCATGCCGGGGGGCCCTGCTCCTCCGCCAGCGCCCCGCCCCGCCCCGCCCCGCCCCGCGGCGCCCTTGCTTTGCCGAGGACCCGCGGACCCCCAGCGGCTGCTGCTGCCGGGCTGGACGTATATAAGGCGGACGGACCCCCTTAATCCATTAGTCCGATCTGAGCGCGGCGCGACGGCTGGGTGCGGCCAGCGGGGCGGGGCGGGGCGGGTGTATGCAAAGTGCCCGCCCGTCCTTACCCCTTCTCCCTTTCCAATGCCTTCGACCCACCGCACCACCACACCGCCGCCGGGGAGGATAAAATGCGCCTCTCAGATTGGCTGTGTGCTGCGGTGGCAAAGGCGAGTCCGACCCGGAGCGGAGACACACTGCTGAGCAAGACGCGGCCAAACCTCGCCCCGCCCGTCCCCGCCACTGTGTGTGCTCTACTCTCTTGATTCGCCTTCACAAAGCGAACAGAACATAAACGTCAGGTATGCATGGTGTGACATGGTCCCCGCATACGAGTTAGAAAGTTGAACCAATCACTCTAAATAACGTGCTCGTCTTATTGATAGCAAAAACTTTGGCATTCCTTTTAGAAGTGCCAATGTTTGGCCTGTATTGCTAGCAAAAATTTGGTTTCCTTTTTAAAGCAACTTTGGTCCGCTTTGACGGGCAAGGGCAGTCTCTGAATGGAGGCCCAAATTTTGGCGCTCAGAAAGGAATTCCACCACTAAAAAGTTTCAAGAAGAGAACGGGAAACGACAATTCTTTACAGATTTCCTCTGAATTTCATTCATTTAACAGTGGATCCACGACATTGTAGGTGGGGCTGGGTGAGGCGAGCCATACGCTAGCGGTTCGGTCATTAAAATGTCAGGGCTCGAGTTATGAGAGAAGACTGTCCCCTCCCTCCTCCCGACCCCTCCCCGTGCGTCTGCCGAATGTTAGTGCCGCCGCAACCTGCGCCCTCCGCACACGAGGCCAGCAGGGGATAGGGACCACAGTCAATTAATGGCTAATTGTAGTTTTTACGATGGCGGTAAAGTCCTTCTCCATCAACGCCGCACCCCGTGCCTTCTCCACTCTCCTTTCGCCTTCTCTCTCTCTCTCTTTTTCTCTGTCTGGCCAAATCTTTTGCCCCCATCACATCCCTCTCACTGTGTGAGGCCCGGAGTGGTTCCTCTTAATGATGAAGAGAATGGTCCAGCGGACAGATATATATCTGGCCTAACCACACGGAGGGTGGCGTGGCGTGGAGAGCGAGGTGGAGAGAGGGGTTCCAGGCAAGTTTGCAGTGTGGAGTGGTGCTACTGGTCTCTGGTGCATCCCCCGGTGTGTACAGTCCAGCCGGGTCCAGCCCGACCCCGACTGACTGCGCTGGACACACAGAATGGCACACCGCTGCCGGCGCTGCTGGCGCTGCAACCCCCCGGTGTGGCGTGGCCTGCTGAAGCTCCGGCAGAAGAGGGTCCAGGCCGCCCAGATAAACGAAGAACGCCTTTCTTCCACTCTCCTCCACGCAGGTGAGGTAGGGCAGGAGAGTAACAGAGAGGGGGAAATAAATGTTCCCTGAAGAGCTTTCTTGTTTCGCAAGGCCCCATCTGGTAACGCTCTCAAAATAAACGCGAAATGTCGGCCGTAACTGAGAACTCTAATCAGTGCACGCGCAGTGAAACTCGTAGTAGATCTAGCAGTTTTTCGACGTCCTGGAACTGGGCAATCTTGTCCTTGACCCACCACAGTGGCTGGTGTAGGGCGACCAGATTAGCCTGATCGCCCGACACCGGCCGGGAGAGCTGTGGGGGCTGAGCTAGGCCGACTAGCTCGGCCTGCCCGTCCGGCGGGTTTGCCTACTCCTCCGGCGCTCCCACTGGCTGCGGCCGGCTAGTCCGGGAGAGAAAGTCGCCTGCCACTGCCCAAAGGAACACTACGCTACGCAATGCAGTGCACTGACAAAGTGAGCCCCAGACCTTCGATATACACGATTTGAATCGATTTATTTACAGATGAAACATAAAAGCAACGCATTGTGGCATCCGACATCAGACTGGTCGGTGGGTCAAGAAAACAATCAATCGGCTACCTTTATTTGCACTTATCACACGCCTGTTCTATTTCTAAGTACGGGGGCCACGCAGTCGCTCGAAAATTCCTGGGCGGATCGATTGTCTTTGGGGTGTCTCGCCACGCCTCGGCGCATTCCGGGCAGGACCTGGACTCGGCCGAGGGGTGCCTACCGAACAGGTTGTGCATAGGGCTGGATGCGAAGCGGTCAAGATCGTCCCAGTCGCACTTACACGTATGTTGCACCACGTGTAACGACTTCGGGGCGCGAAGCACTAGCTCGCGGAGAGCGTCTTGGTCGACTGGGAACACAACGAAACACAAGACACTCGTAAATTATTAGAGATAAACGATAGGTAAACACCAGTGTCAGGTGTAAAATTACATCATGCACATATATTAAATTAAAAATTAAAAAATACAAACTTTTGTTGTCTTAAGTAACACACGTTTGTACTTTCATTTTAAAAATGTGAATTTTCACGTCAATTGATTAAAATAATCTTCTTGTTAAGAAAGCGTGTCTTAAAATAAAACATTCCAGTAAAGCTAAAATGCAGAAGAATGCGGGGAAGAAGAAAACAGAAATCGTCATGCTTTAAACGTGGTGACTTCTGTTTTCTTGATTCTTGCATTCTTCTGCATTTCAGCTCACATTACCCGGGTGGCAGGGTTCGAGTCCAGTAGTTCCCCACATCATAGCTGCTCCCACCGCCCATTCCCGCGGTACCGATGCGTACGTCGCGTCTGCGATATTACAAAGACTCACCGTTCTCATATTGTAGGAGGAGGAGCAGCCTCAAGGACGGGATGGCGTCGGTCGGGATGCCGCGGAGCTGCTCGGGCGTGGGGTTCTCGTTCAGGACCAGGGCGCGCAGGGCGGGCAGGCCCGCCAGCGCCGCGCCCAGGGGGCCCAGGGAGGTGGGAAATGTGCAGAGGTGCAGGTGGGTGAGGGCGACCAGCGCGCCCGCCCCCACGGCGCACAACGTGTCCTCGGACGAGCACGTCAGCCTCAGTCGCTTCAGCTGGTGCTGCCAGGAGCGAAACAACACCGCCACCTGACGGGACGAGAGTTAGAGATGGGCGTTGAGTCGCGGGACAAGAGGCCACAGGCTCGATGGGAACGTGACGGCAAAGTTTCGTTTCGGGTACCTCGGCCTCTGCCTTTGCGATCATGCATCGAGGCCCCCAGGTGGGGCCGCTGATCTCCAGGTCCCTGAGGCCTTGCATCCGCCGCAGCCCGACGGATATGCCCGGAACTGCGACGACACACAGCTTGTGAAGGTCGCTCGCGCAGGAGGACATGAGCGGCAGCAGCACGGCGGAGTACAGCGACACGGAGCGCAGCTGGGCGCTGCAAAGGAGATCAGGCCAATCTAATCCTGCTGGGGTCAGTTGTTGAAAGAGAGGTGCTGGGGTTACCTGTGTGCTCTCAGCAGCGATCGGAAAGCGTACAGCGATGATGTGCTCATTTCCAGGTTCTCTTCAGAAAAGGGGAATGTGCGATGAACCGACGTGAATCGATTAAACCAATCCGACTCCAACTCTAAGGAGCGCAGTCTGGGCAGCGCGGTGACCTACGAACAAAGGCAGTGTGTAGTTGTGAAGCGCCGCGAGCGAGAGCGAGCCTCACGGCGCGCCAGGAGGGCGATCGGAGCGCTCCCTGAAAACAACCGGGAACGCCTTCTATATCGACTGAAACAGGGTGAGGGGGGCAGTGGGAGGACGGAAGTGGAGCGTTCTCAGGGAGCTCTAGCTCTCCGATCGCCCTCCAGTGCGGCAGGCTGCCGGGCGCGAGCGCTCACTTGCGGCCACCTGAAGGTACAGCTGGCTGAGGTCCAGTCCCACGTCATGGACAGGGTCTCCAAGGCGAGCGCATTCTGCAGGCTGGCCAACAACGTGCCCAGCCTCTTCGTGCCTCGCACATACGATATTCGCAAATGCTTCGTCTGCTGCCCGAGCATCCAGATGATCTTGCCGGCGAACTGCTCGGAGAAGACTTTGATTTTGAAGTGTTCCCCGACATGACGGCCATCACTTCCCCAGCTGCGACTCCCTAGCCAGCGATCATTTAAGTAATAGTACGCAGAAACGCCTCGTTTGCCGGTGACGTGCAGGTCCAAGGTGTCCAGGGGCGGCGCAACCCTCAGCAGGCCCAGCATGCCCTCGATGTCGTTGAAGCGAACTTTTCCTTTGTTCCGCCACAGCGACCGGTGCGTCCTGGTCAGCTGGGCAAGCCGGGGGCTCGCCTGCCCGGCGGCGCTCAAGTCCTTGGTCTTCAGGTGGGACAGCACTTCCAGCAGCGGCAGGTCAGCGAGCGACAGGAGCGTCTGCGGACAACGACCGTGTTAGCCAACCACAGTTTACATGCGTACAGAACATAAACGGATTTTCACCACTTAGGCCTAGGCCATGAACCAACGCGCATGACCGTGCAAAGGTCGCCACTAAAAATTATGTAGGTGCCACAATACCAGTTTTTCAGGTTGAGACTCTGCATATTGCGACGCTTCCAACTCCAGTATCGCTGGTGGCCGGGCCCTCTTGGTGACGGCAGCCGACGCGTACGCCATAGTGCACTAATCAATCGCTAATCAATCAAAACGAATATAGTGCGACACAACCTCCAAAGAGCCGTGTCGTCGTGAACTATGCTTGTTCTCGTCACTCACTGCCGGCTTTTGTTTTATTTGCAGTCTGTCTGTCGGCGGCTGCTAGATCGAAGCGAGCGCCATCTAGCGGCGCTTCGGATACTACACGGCGCAGAGTAAACGTAAAGTCACCCAAATTTCGAGGTGGTTTTCACTTGTGTAACCACAGTAGTCGCAGAGTGGACCATGACAAGAAAAGACTCAATTTTCAATAGTGTGTTTCGACAAATGGAGGAGGAAGAAGGGCGGGTAGAACATAAAGGTTCCTGATTGGCCGAGCGCTTACCCCCACTAGCGGCGTGACGTAGAGGTGGGAAGCTCTCGACCAATCGGTAACGTACCCGCTCTTCTTCTTCCTCAGTTGGTAATACACTATTAATTTCAGACACGGAACAATATCTCTGATTATATTTTAGAGCTTGGCCCAAGCCACCAATAGCTTGAAAATTAGATGTGTTCTGGTGCGAATATCCACTTTGTACATTTAATAGGATCCTAAAAAAAATTGGATTACAAAGCTACAACAGAAGTACAGTACAATCATTCGTGGCACAAATAACCATTTGTACTTTCCCTCCATTTATTTCTATACTACTTGCACAAAATTCACTTTGAAGGTGTCGTCTGGTGAGCTGTGATAAGTGCGGTAAACATCCTTCGCCTCGGTGCAGAGGGCGCAACAGCTCGACTCGGCTGGCGAGTGCTTGTGGAGGACGCGGCACGTGAACGAGTCTTGGCCATGGTCGCAAGACTCCCGAAACACGACGTGCAGCGACATTGGCGCACGGCGCACGAGGTCCTGCAGCACAGGCAGGTGCCGCGCAACGATCTTGCAGTCTGCGGACAACGGGTCGGGAGTGTCAAGGTCAGCGCGCACAACACGCGGACGTGACCCCTAGCGGGCACAAGGAGGGCATCTTACCTTCGAACCAGCACCGGTAACGATAGCAGGGCGCCACGGCCGCCATGGAGAGCATCTCGAGGGCGGGGATGGCGGCGTGCTGGATGCCGCGCAGTACCTCGAGCAGCGGCACGTGGACCAGGCCGAGCCAGCGCAGGCGGGGCAGGCGCGCCAGCGCCGGGCCCAAGTCGTACTCCTGATTTCTGGGCGTTTCCAGGACGAGTTTCTGGAGGCTTGAAAGGCCATACAAGCCAAGGTCACGCACCATTCCAGGGCGGAAATGATACAGCTCCAGGCCTGCGAGTGGGCCCGACCAGGACTTCAATAAGTTCTCCACCTGAAAGCGGGGCATGGAGTCGAACAAAGTAATTCAGGCGCCTGCTAGGTGAGGTGAGTAAGTACCAGGAAACCGATTTCGTGCGAGTAAAAAGACCACAGCAGAACACAAGCACCGCACCTCTTCTACTGAATCATTGTCATAGGTGAAGTCCACCCGGAGCCGCTTCAGCCCGTGCAGCCGTCGCAGGCTCGCGAACAAGCCCTCACCGACCACCACGTTCAGCTCGTACAGGTCGCTTGGGCACGAGCTCAGGAGCGGCAACAGTCGCGGAGAGTCGACGGACACGGACCACAGCTGCCCGCTGCAATCAGGTGTAAGAGTTAAAAAACAAAAACAAAAAAACGCTTGGTCAATCCGGTTGCTGTTCATCTTTTGGTAAAGCTCTACAGAGGGTGGCGGACTGAAGCTCCAACCACTTCCGTTGCTATTACTGTGCTCCTCCTGCTGGAGATGATTGGCAAACTAGCCTACAGGCCGGCGCCGACATACAGTTACAGAATACCTACGGAAGTGAAAGTGCGCAAGGCCAAGCAGCTACCTGCATGTGCAGCTCAAAAAATAAGCGGTATAATTTGATATATTTGTGTAGCAAAGCTTATTATTGGAGGGAAGGCCACTTACCTGTGTGCTTGCAACAGGCTGCGTAAGGCCTTGAGCGTGGATCTGCTGAAGGCTGCCGAGGGCTCGCAATCGAATACAGCATATCGGAGTCTGGGCAGCACCACCCCCTACAAACAGACAGGCACAGGGGTTATTATGATGGCAGAGCGTCGTGCCTGCCCCCCCCCCCCCCCCCCCCCCCGCGGGCTGAAGTCACGGCGCGTGAACTCACCTGTGGCCACATGCCCGTCGCTCGTCCTTTACCCTTGAAAATGAGGTACAAGATCTCCAGACCGGGGGCCTCTTTCAACAAGCTCAAAGGCAGGTCCTCCTTGCACACGGTTAGCGTGACGTGCCTCAGCCCGCCCCCCAGCGTCCACACGAGGCTGCCGATGTCCTCCACGTTGCGAACCGTGAGACAGGTGCGGGCGTTGGGCCCCCAGACGGTACAGGTGTCACTAAAATCGGCTGTAATCGTCTCCATGCAGTGACAAAAGGTAGTCAACCGGTCCACGTTAGGAGACACGAGCAGCCGTCTGTAGAGTTCGTCGACGTCTTCGACCTCGAACCACTTCCCCCGCCACAGCGACAGGTGCGTCTTGGTCAGCTCGCGCAGCCGGGGGCAAGCCTGTACGGCGGCGAACATGTCCTCGATCGACAGGTAGGAGAGCACCTCCAGCATCGGCTCGTCGGGCAGCGACAGAAGAGTCTGCGGACAGCGTCGAGTGACTAAAAAGATAGCGAGCTACCTCGTGCGACTAATAAGCAACAAAATCACATGCTTCGATTGCCCCACCTCACTATCAAAGAACACAACGGATAGTGGCATGTATAGTGTATTTCGACTGACGGAGGAAGAAGAATGGCGGGTAGAACATGAAGGCTCCTGACTGGCC